TAATTTTGTCAACAGTATAATTCAATTCTTTCTTACAAATAATTCATTGAGACTGCTCTAAAAATCTTCGACCAGCTGTGCTGCAACCAACCATAACTTCATTCAGTAAATTATCGATAAGATTTATAAGATAGTGGAATATTTTCATTCAGATCTGATGTTCATGGCTCACTCTTCTCTGCAACAAAAGCCACACAACAAGCCATACTTCGTGTGAGGCTCCTCTGTGAGAAGGCCTGTAGCAGCATAACAGGAGTGGGCGAGGGAGACGATGGCATTTTTTTGCTTTATTCTGATCATCAGAAAACCTTCACACTGAAGGAGTTTGAAGAGATGCAGTCAAAACAAGCACAAGAGGCAAAGGAAAAGCTAGAAGCACTAAGAGTAAAGGTGCTAGGAATTGTCAAAGAAGCTTGTGAGGTAGGAGATCAGTTAAGGTTTTCAGACTCTGTTGTCTAGTTATGAGAAGATGGCTGTTTCCTTCTTTGTATTAAACATGAAGTAAAATACTGCATGCAGAGTTGGTGGAAATTTAGCACTCTAGTAACAGCCACCCTAATCTCTACACTGAGAATGTATCTACACCATTGCTAAAGCATCTTCACTCATTCTGATTTTTACCAGCCTGATCATCACCCTGAGGGACAGTCTCTACTTTTTGTAAATTTAAAGATCTTTGACACATCTTTGCTGAAGACCTCTTAGCCTTCTCCCTGGTCTTATTCAATATTATTTCACAGAATTTATCAATTAAGCAAGGTAACTTCAAGGCTAACTACCTTATGGTGTAATAATGTCAATGTATTGCTGTTAGAAAATTACAGAGGAGGAGGGACTCACAGAATGGGTTCACCCTGAAAGAAAGAAAGAAGCACCAAAGAAAAAGAAGGCAACTAATACAGATGGAAAGAAAAGAAAAGGTAATGTCTGCCATATTTATTTGATTAAGTGCCCAACCTCCAATGAGCACCCTGCCTCGAATAAGTGCCCCCCACTCCCCCGCCTCCCCCTTAAAATGAAGTGCACCAGCGAGTTCCCTGATTGACCTTAGTGACAATATGAGATTGAAATTAACTACATGTAAGTACTGTTAAGAAACTTCTTCTTAGACCGAGATTTGTTGATTCTGCTTTGGTACAGGTTTTGTTAAAATTTATTGTTTTGGTGCAAAATAAACTTACTACTTGCTGAAAATGGTGAAAATTTAATAAGCACCCAGCCTCGAATAAGCACCCATCTTGAATAAGCACCGGCACTCTCAAGGTCCAAAAATTTAATAAGCACCCAGGACACTTGATTGAATAAATACAGTAGTTGATGAAGAGACTAGACAAGGTGTACATGGAAAGGGAACAGAAAGCTATTTAATGCTTTCTAAGCTAGCTGCTTTTTTGCTGTACAGCTTCATAATGGTAATCTTTTTCCTAACAGTAAGGATGCAATACACTGTAGCTTTCATTTCATCATTCATTGCCTTATATTCCACAAATTCTTAGGCAAAGATGGAGATGGGCAGCCAACATTTACACAAATGTCTCAGTGGAGAGGTGTCCTTCATCGTTTGACATGTTTTATTAGACTGATTGACTTTCTAGTGATGGAACTTTTAAGACGACTAGTCCTTGTAGCATTGAGGACACTGTTAGCTCAAGTGAAGGCCTCTTCTGTGCAGGGTATTGTTTGTTTGATCATTTGGCATTTGTAAATCAATTTATTTATGAAATATCAATGTATAAGATAAGATAAGATAAGATAACTTTATTTATACACGGTTTTTCCATCAGTCAACAAAGTTGCTGGACTATCTACCTATCTGCCTACTTACAACAAAAATTTAAAAGAAAAAAACTGCTTTTCATGGGCCATGTCTAAAAATTTACTTAAAATTAAGATATTACTTTAAACTGTGGCAACTTGATTTAGATTTGAAATCGGTCAGTGAAGATGCTTGTCTTAGGTCTATAGGTAAGTTGTTCCACAACTGTCTGAGCTCCACGGTATGAAAAACTTCTCTTAAGATAATCAGTTTGAGGTTGTGGAAGAACTAATGTAAAAGGCAAAGAAGCCCAGGGAAGCTAATAAGGCTTTTGTGAAGTCTTTAATTGATAACTGTGTATGATAACAAGGGCTTTCAGGGTACATGTACAAGTTTGGCATTGCAGCACATTGGAACATTGTTTACACATGCTCGAGATATGAGTGAACCAGTTAATCAGATAAAGCGATCAAAGTTGTAGTATCAATCTAAGTCAGTTGAGTATACTATTCTTTACAATACTATACAGGGTCTGTTGTTCATCTGAGTCTAATGGAGCCAACTCTTGATGACCAAGTCAAACCAGATGTTGTATTTGGCAGCGATGATGAAGAAGAGAAAAAGGCAGTAGAACTCTTGAAGGTGGAGCTGGTCTTAAATGTTCCACCTATGGAAGATGGTGGTAAGATTCAACAGTGAATCTATTTATTAACTAAAGAATTAACTCAAAAGAAAAGGGTCAGAATACTGCATGAATATAAAGCTGCCTTGGCATGAACCATTTGACCAGTACTAAGAAAACATTCTCAATGACTGTCATCAAAATTTGCAGCAGCCAGCCCTCCCTCCAAAAATCCTCTTTGTGAAATCCTATAAGGCGCATATGTCTAGTCAGAGCTCAATGTTGTGCTCGCTGGGGTTTCCAATGCGACCAATTTTTTTTCACTGGCGACTAATTTTTCATGCTTCTCATTGAAATACTTTTGCTTACGAATAAATCTGAAAACTTACAGGCCAGCTGGCCCCAAGGTTTTTTCCTGAAAGTCGAGCCCTGCTAGTTAGATGTAACATACACGTAGTAAATGGTTTAAACCCAGGTGTATCAGAAGTTCATCTTCTGTGATCATCTGGGTGAGTAATTCTGAAAGGAACTGAACATTGTTGTTGACTGACATTTCAATAACCTGAGTGGAAAACATCAGCAGAGTCAAGTGTCAAGTCAATTCTTGACTCTGAGGATGTAGTTAGATGTGTTACTTTGTTTTTCAGCCGATAAGAAAACAGTCACGTTTGATGTCCACTCTCAACGGCCAGAGACTGGAGAGAAGTCTACACTTAACACTGCTGATGGGACATCATTTGTTGATGACACAATGACAGTCACCTCTGGAAAGGAGCCTTCAGTGACTTCTCTCAGCAGTCATACCTCGCAGACAACCAAGTCTTTCATTTCTCTCAAACCAACAGAACAGGTGACGTTGAATTTGGACTAGAAGCTTTCACAAAATTTTGCACTGATTTTCATAGTAGCTGATGGTAGATTAAGACTGTACCATGCAAAAATTCCCATAACACTGGAGCTTTTGTGAGCCATGGAGTTTTTCTACCCCCAGTGGATGACACACTAGTTATACTTGTGAATTGCTGGGTTATCCTAATCATTTAGCTACCCATTTATCAAACTGGGACTTCCCAATCCAGAGTGCAGTCCTAAAACCTGGTTTTCATGAGGTTTTTATGGAAGCGCAAGGGTTTTGACAAACTTTAAGAAAGGCAAACGTGATCTGGCTCTGCTGGGGAGTGCACATTTGAAATGCTTGATGTAATATATCAAACACAAGAGACAGTGTTTCATCGGGATATCCAAACACTGAGAAGAGAGTTGAAAATACGATGCGCAGCGGAGTAGTTTTGACGAAATTTGAGGTGTTTGGATGGCCAATGAAACACTGTCTCGAGTGTTTGATATATCTTCTCAATCGGAACAAAAACTGAGGAGTAAATTGAGAAGTTAAATCGTCAAAATCTATGCTAATTAAGACCGGGTATCCAAACCTCCTTCACGGTTGTGATTTGCTTTGTTTTAACTTGATGAATTGTTAATAAGTTTGAGAAGTATAAATTTGACTGTGTTTTCCTTTATGCTTTGACTACATGGGAGATGTGTGCAGTGTCAAATTTACAGAGTTCCATCTTTAAACTCGGGATATACATTTGAAAGAACTGCTGAGTGTGTTGTGAATCCTGACAGAGTGAGCTTTGAGCGGCAGGCCTGGTAGAGATTTGTACTTAGCTATGTACATCTCAATACCACTATATGAAGGGTTCCCAGAGTTACAGTTATTTGCTATTTTCTGAATGTCCATAGTGTTGGAAGATTAAAATTCACTTTGACTTTCAATTATTCCCTAGGATTTTGAAACAGCTCTTTACAACATTATTTATGGATTTGAACAAACTGCAGCATCATTCAAAAGCTTAGTCTATGACCCAGAGTTGTCCATTTATGTTAATCCACCGACCAGCGATGTTGTGTATGCTTTGTCACGTGATGTAGTTAAAGAGGAGAAAGCCAAGCGGATTCCCTGGCCTGACTCAGAGTTGTTGTTTGGTCAGGATCCTGATTATCAGAACGATGTTGGTCAGATATTTCATCAGATCAAAGATGAAGTGGACAATGTCCTCAATTATTCAAAGGTAATAGTTTTTTATAACATAGTAAATGGTTTGAACCCAGGAGTATCAGTAGTTCGTATGGTGTGATCTTCCGGTTGAGAGTAGTTCTGAAAAGAATTGTTGTTGGTGACTGACGTTTCGACAACCTGAGCGGAAGTCATCTTCAGAGTCNATAAGTCTGGTCCGTTGAATGTGATTGGTCAGTTTAGCCATGATGGTACTGGCTGAAAGACTCGTGTAAAGTTTGTCATCAGTCATTGGTGGGTTTCGATCCGTCTATTGTTAGTCAGATTGGTCAGTTTTTGGTCTGTGTATTGTTAGTCAAATTAAGTCGGTCTGGTAGAAGTCCATTTGTTGGTTTCGTTTCCGTCATAATAAGTTGTTTGTAAGGCACCGGTAGTTGTTGACATCTGTTAAGAGGCGTTTGTTCTAGGTTAGTGTACCAGCTTTCCAGAGTCAGTTGTTGAAAATAGTTTGTACTGTTGGTTAAGCACTGAGCAGAGTCCCAGTCAATGTTGTGGTTTGTCAGTTGATGATGTACAGCAATGTGATTGTTGTCATCACCATTTCTTGTGGCTCGTTTTTGTTCAGTCAGTCTCGTGTTAAGGTTTCTGCCAGTCTCACCAGCGTAGGAAGCCTGGCAGTCGGGGCATTTGATCTTGTAAACTGGTCCCTGTCTGTTGCTAGGTTCGTCCCCTTCTTTCACGGTGGTCAGTAAGTTTCTTATAACTTGCACATTTCCAAAAGGGATCCTCTGTATTGTGAAATCAGGGTTTCGACAACTTTTTATCTTGACCCCACTCTTCCAGTTCACTTAAATTCTTGTGGCTTGAAGGTCATGAAATAATAATTTCTCTGTGCATTGTGTTCAGTTTGAGGAAACAGTAAAGGGTTTGTTTATGTTAATATATTTGTGTGGGCTGTTAACCAGGGAACGTAAATTCAATAAGACAAGCAACATGAAAAGCCTTTGTTGGATTAAAAGACGCAAAAGTAACATTATAAATTTTTATTTTTGTCATTGTTGCTCAGAAATTTAGAAGATTCTGTGTTATGGTGGACAAATCACGTAGAGTAGATGTGGATGGCTCCCTTAAAGAAAGAGAATGGGACACTGAAGAATTCTATGCTGTGCTTAACCAGCACACAGAGCAGGTTAGAATACTCACTCTACTCTACAGTAGCATATTGGGCATGAAACTAGACCGAATACAGAACAGTTAACTCGTTACACTGACTGTGTAATTATCTCCATATTTTCAAAGGCCCACATACATTGTACATTCAATACTAGGTCAGAATACTAAGTCCATTCTAAAGTAGTATAGTGTGCTGAAAACTAGACCTTTTACACAACAGTTAATTTATTTCACTGACTTTGTAATTTAATTCTATAGCTTCAAAGGTCCGCATTCATTGTACATTCAATACTAGGTCAAAAGTCCGTTCGAAAGCAGTATAGCGTGCTTAAACCTAGACCTGATACTGAACAGTTAATTCACTACACTGTGTACTTCACTGTGTTAATTCACTACATTGTGTAAATCATTAATTTAGTTCTATATCTTCAAGGGTCCACCCGTATCATGCATTTAATACTAATCTAAGACAAGATGTGAAACCAATAAACTTTGTCTTACAAGCCATATTCAGACAGTCAAGCAGCTCTAGCAGAAAAGAAAACAGCAACGGAAAATGTGCACGTGTATTGACTGGTTTGTCCTGAAAGATGTCACTGACAGTGTGTTCAGAGCATTGTACTGACATTTTGTACTTGCAGATTGAGTAGTTAAGTTTTGAGTATATTTCAACTGGTTTTCTGTGACTTGTTTTAAGTTAAGGCCCTTGTCAAATGTTTCCTTTACAGATATAAAAAATTCCTCAATGTCATTACATGTAGACAATGTAAGGTTTTCCCATGCATTGTTATCTGTGTTTGAGGCAGAGGAATTCTAAAGTACATGCTTAGCTCAGGTCAAACAGTCAGCCATCTCAAACAATGATTGTACTAGTTTTTTTCAACATATGTTTTATTAACAAGAACTTATTTTTAACAGGTACTTGAGATGGCAAAGATGACATTGGATAAAAGGATTGGACTGTTTCATGTAGACGTTACTGGATTTAAAACCGATTGTCTTCCCTACCCTGAAAAAATTCTCGAAGCTGTAGGCCGACATCTCCCCTTTATTGCTGCCAAGAGAAATGATGTCCTCCTAAATGTCATCAAGGTACGGTAACTTCACATGAGCCTTCAATCATACCGAACTGAAATGAATCAAAAATACTTGCCTGGTATTTGGATCTGTTGTGAAACACTGTCTCTTGGGTTTAAAATTACACAAGCTTCTCTCATTTCTCGCTACATTTTCCATCTTTTGTTTGGAATGCTAAGCTTTTTGCACGTAGATGTTTTGCTCTCGCAAAGCAATTGGTACAAATTCTTCCTCATTTACTGTAACAAGGCCCAGTCTACAGATGACCTATAACTCCTGAAAGCATTCCTTTGTTACCCGTGCATTTACAGAGGAATACGGACCAAATAGGGGTGCGAAAGTGACCTAATTATACAATGGTTACAGTGTTGAATTCCAGATAGAGACGTTAGAGACTAAGGTTCTAATGTTCTGTTATCTGCCAAAAAACCTTCATTCTCACATCTCCTTTCTTTACCCAGGATTGTAAATGGATATCATTGAGGGTAAAAGAGACTTGGGTTCAGAATCAAAATGGATACCATTGAGGGTAAAAGAGACTTGGGTTCAGAATCAAAATGGATACCATTGAGGGTAAAATAGACTTGGGTTCAGAATCAAAATGGATACCATTGAGGGTAAAATAGACTTGGGTTCAGAATCAAAATGTTGTGGGTATACCTGTGATGGACTCAGATGAATTACATCAAGGTGCTTCATGTTACAGAAACTATTCTGATACATAGGAGCAGACACAGAGTTTCCATTAGTTAACCTGCTAACCAAAACTTTCTCTCCTACAGCACGCTTCAAGGAAGCTGGACAAAATGGCAGACACTGTAGAAGCCTTTGTGGAACATCTCATCTTCTTGTCACGTATGGGAAATGAGATTGCTTCTTTGGAGAAAGAGTACAACATTGTCACTCGCATGTACAGCATAGCACGTAACTTTGAAATGTCCATATCAAATGAAGAGCTAGCTCTCTATCAGATGCTTATGCCAAGCTTTCAGCATCTCAAGGTAATGATTTAGAAATAAAGTTTCATCTCTGTTAGGCCTGGGTCACATTGGCAATATTCGCCATAATGACATATGACATAACGACATAATCACTGATGTAGGTAATGAGAACATCGACATAAAGACATATTTTTTCCTTTGTTGTTAAGTTCATGCTGTTGCTATTATTTCATATGTCAGGTGTTCACACTGCAAACAACGACATTACGTCCTTCTTACTTTGTTGAGTTTAAGTCGTTACGTCGCTAGTACTGTGAACTAGGCTTTATAGCACATGAACGTTTAAATTTCGTGAAGGTAATGATAAAAGTGAGGTTGAACCTCATTAACATGACCTTTGTTGGCCCATTAAGATTTAATGGTTTTTTTTTATATATATTAATTGTGATTCACACTACTTACAACACTGGTATGTCTACTTACCCAATTTACAACAGTGATACAACTACTTACACTACCTAACAATACGATGCAATTACAGATGCTACTTGCAGTACTGTCATTTGCATAACTTACTCTACAAAACAATACATTACAATACATACTAATACTTACACTACTTACAATATAATACCATTACTGACGCTTCTTAAATTTAATGGTATAAAATGCGCAGGCTCAAATTATTAAACTATTAATCAATCCCTAATCCCTTTTGGAAAATGCTCTAAGAAAGTGCATGCTAAAAGTTTTACCTCTATTCAACAATTACATTATGAGCCCGAGATATCTATCACGCTCAGAAATCAAGAGCGAATATTCTTACTGTTTTAGTTTAAATCTACTAGTCGTTCGGATGATTTCAAAATCCTCTTCACAAATACTCCAAAAACGCAGAGAAGCGGCCATCATTTTGTCAACAACTGCACAGGTTGAGGTTACTCACTGTGTACAAAAGAATAGATAGTGAGTGGCGTAGCTATGAGTAGCGTAGCGATTACATGTTTGTAAGAAAATGGCATTCGTGATAGAACGCTGGGATATTTATACTGAAACTTGTTAGAACCACAGAGAAACTGTTTTCTATTTCAATACTAATGACATATTAACTTTACGTCAGTGCTTCTTCATCCACATTGGAGTCGCTGGGAGCCTTTCTAACCACAATTCCAAACACTAACCACTCCTTCTGGTTATTTTTCCCCTCGCAGTCAACCATTTTATACTGTGAAGCAAAGAAGGATGAAAACATCCAACGGTACAGTAAGGCCCTTGATGATCTCATCGGCACTGTGCGACGTGAGCTGGTCACCATAAAGAACAAGGTCTGCTCTCCTGCTTTGCTTGATGCTGACAGTATCCCTCAAGTGGCCACTGAGAAGCTGAAGCTGTTGAAGGAGGACTTGGCAAACTTGTCAACCAAGGCTCGTAATTATACTGCTTATCAGGACCGCTTTGGGAGTTCCATGTCATCTTCATTGCAGAAGAAGGCCTTGACTGAGTGAGTTTAATTTAGTATGATGGTTTGAACCCAGGAGTATCAGTAGTTCGTCTTGTGTGATCGTTCGGGTGAGGGTAGTTCTGAAAAGAACTTTTGCTGGTGACTGACGTTTCGACAACCTGAGCGGAAGCCATCTTTAGAGTCAAGACTTGACTTGCCACTGGACTATGAAGATGACTTCCGCTCAGGTTGTCGGAACGTCGGTCAACAACAACAGTTCTTTTCAGAACTACCCTCACCCGGACGATCACACAAGATGAACTATTGAGTTAAATTTGGTACACCTGTAAATGATTCTAGGCTGTAAACTCACTGAGGCCTTTTCTGGCTATATTGCGGACCNTCAGCAGAAGCCCCCAAAATATTTAATTTTCGAGCAGCAAGTGAGCTGTTAAGATGGAGGACAACGAAGAGATATGGTTGAACCCTTTGCTGTCTTCTGCGAACGAATGGATTCTTCTGTGAATGAATTACTTTGTTATTACTTATTTAATTTTATCTTTTTTATTTTAGTCATGCGTTTTATATATAAGCCTCTGGCTTGGATACTGAGGGCAACCTAAATCCCATGCAATGACTTTAATAAATTGATTGATTGATTAATTGATTGGTTGTGCAACTCCAAATGAAGATGAAAGAGATGAAATCTCCACTGGCATAATAAAGCAGCAACTGCCATCGAGCAAACTAAATGGCTTGAAGGATGAAAAAAAAGAATATAAGCAACAGAACGCAGAGGCAACATTATCTCTTGATATAATTTAAGGTCACTTTCCTGCAAACTGAACCCAAAGGAAGGTGTTAGCTTTGAACATGATTGACGCCTGTGGTTATCAAATATTTTGGTGTTTTCAAGTGCATAGGAGATTAGCAAATTCCAAATTTTGTGGAGGCAAACTTTGTCGAGAGTTTTGGCAGAGCCAAACAAATCTTGGCAACCTACTGTGCAGGGTTAGGGGTACCTTAATCACCCATCAGATCTTTAATCCCCAAAGTAATCCTCAAGCTGTTTTAAGATCAATCCCGGTTTCGGAAATATCAGGATGGTCTGGAGATAGCCAGTCCTGTGGTGTGAATTATGCTCAGGCCATACAATGTAGCTTTAGTGGCTTTACAAGCATTTTCCAGGTTCGTGCTCCATAAAAATGTCCACGAAAACATCCATGTAAAACATCCATGCAAAACATATGGAATAAGGTCTATTTGGGGATTTAAATCTTTTTCCCTTAGCTTCATCCTCTATTGAATGTGGATAGCATTGTCTAGCCTTGAATTAACCATCGGGCTCTGGAGATTTGAGGTGCTGCCTCTGGAAAATCCTTGTAGACTTTATAAAATTACAATATTTAGAGAGGAAGCCACATCAGCCTAAGCTGGTTTTCATGCGGGTCCTCCATCCTGGCTGAATTGTAATTTGAACATGTTGGTTTTTGTGAAGGTAGGAAAACCAGAGAACCCAGAGAAAAACCCTTGGAGCAAGGTGAGAGCCAACACAAACTCATCCCACAATATGGATGGGGCTGAAATCAAACTTGGCCAACATTGGTGGGAGGGGAGCGCTCTCACTAGTACTGCACCATCCCTGCTCCCCAAATACCTAACAAGTTTTTGATTCTACAGAAATATCCAGTGTACTTTAAAACCTTGCTATTTTGCATGTGCAAACATGTCACCAAGGACCTTTTTTGTGGATGTAGAGTACTTAGTAGGGTATAAACGCATCCGTTATTAATACAGGAGAGTTGAGGGCACTGGGAAGAAATTTGGGATGTGCATTTTCAACCCAGATTTTTGGGGGAGATGTATCTCTTCAGTGCTTGAGGGGAGGTCAAAATTTGTGTATAAAATTTTTTATCAAAATGTCTTGGGCTCGCAAAGAAAAACGCTAATCTCGTCATCTCGCAAAGTCTCGCATTTACCATTTGCCACCCCTAAGACAGATAAAACCATCCTTTCTGCTTTTTGTCTTCAACAGGGAACTCCTCATCCTCCTCCCAAGGGTGGCCCCAGGTCAACAATGGGCACCTATAGGACCACTATGTTCAGAAGAGACTTCAACAGGTTACAAGCGCAAAGAAACCAGGGTTTCCCAAAAGAGCCAGTCTCAATCAAACAGGGAGCCATGCCACCCGAGAAAGAAGTCGTCCCAAACATGCAAGAAGCATCGGAATTGGAATCACAGTTTTCAAGAGATACCGATGGAGCTGCTGCAGTAGAACAACGAGCTGTTATTTCTGATGGCTTGGCAAATTTAAACCTGCCAGAACAGATGAGTGCATTCTCTGATGATGGAAGGCCAGTTGGCCAGGTATTTTCAAGTGTTGAAATGTTGTTTATAGTGATGAATATGCTTAATCAAAAAAAGCTGTTCTCTTTTTCAGGCGCCATCTGTTGCATCTCTTGGTAAAAGTGCTGATGAATCCCGCTCCTTTGTATCAAGTGAAACCCCATACAGTAGACCAAACTCTTTTAAATCTCGGGTTTCATCTGGGAAATCACAGCGTCCTCCTGCTAGAAACCAGAGACGTGATTTCAATGCAAACATGGGAAGCCTTCCTTCTCGAGGAGTCCCAACAGATGAAGAATTTCTTGGCTTAGATGTAGCAGACGTCATAAAGAAGCTACGTCAAAGACTAAACATGAGCACAGATTTGGATGCCGTTGCCAATGGGGAGGACCCAGATGCAGATGAGAACAATATCAATCGGTTATACATTAAAGAAGATGATGGGAAATTCTTGTACTGCCTGTTCAAGAACCGAGCAGAGAGAGCTGCACGTTACAATCCTTATGACTTGATTTGTGTGTCATCACATGAAGCACAGTCTAGTGCGCATTATTTTACAGTTACTGCTTCTGCTGTTACACAGGTGTGTTACTTAATGACTGGGCATTATTTTCACAACGTGGGTTCACAGGAGTTTTGATACAGCATGGCTGTTAAATATCACTACACAGTCAAACCTCCACTAATGGCGATCTCTGTTCAGTGGCCACTTTTTTTGGTCTCGGTGGACAGTCTTTACATTCACTCATACTTTAACCTCTCTACAGCAGCCACCTCCCCACAAAGGCAAAGGCCACTAAAATGCATCCCAGCTGCCAAAATAATCTCTCAACAGTGGCCAGTTAGTCAACAATTGATGAACCCATAAAGAAAAAACCCAATTTTTTTAAAAGGTCACCAAACATGACCTTTACTGGACGTCATTTGTCTGTGTTTCTGTTATATCAAGACAGTTTGGTCATGTTACATATTTGTAAGCTAAAATGAGCTTTTTTTTTTACAAAAAATGTTGCACCAGTGATAAACGAAAAGCTGATTTGGGGGAAGGTGGGTCGATTGGGTGGCTAGCCACCCCCCGTTATGGAGAAGCAAAAACAAAAATGATGAAGATTGTAAATATTATGGCAGAATCAAAGGCAAACACTCTGGACAGGCGCCTCATTCTAATTTATAGTTTGTGGCTTATTTGCTAGTATTTCTGGTGTAACAAATTGCAACACTTCGGGAGCATGCCTCATTGATTCTGCAACCCCAAGGTACGGCAGCCACCTCCTTTGAAAAATCCTGGGTCTGCCCCTGAGTCTTTACCTTTAACGTTTACATAATGCAGGATTAGTAACTAAAGATGATTTTCCCTGTTGTTTTCAGGTCAGAGAGGGATTTGATTCAGAGCTGACCCCACTTAAGAGATGGCTTTATGAAAGAAAACAATTTAATCTAATATTTGGTGTAGCAACCTTTGCCAAGTTCAGGCAAGTATTAACAATTTGTTATTGTTATCTGTAGCTTTATTATATGGCTAGCTCTGTTAGCGGGCACGATGAACCAAATCCTGTGATTGGCTACCTGAGCGGGTGAGATAACGCTATCTTGCCAGCTCAGAATTACCTACTGTGTCCCGCAAGAAAATATTAAGTGTTCTTTTTACATATAATAAATCAAAAAAAAAAAGAATGTAAAAAACAACAACTTGGCCAATATCCAGCCATCGTGACCTCATGGTTGGTCATGAACCCATATATTTTATTTTGATAAGAGTTTTACACTCAGCAAAAGCTAATAGTTGTCAACCGCAACTTATGGGCATCATGTGTCATCTTTCCATACGCAAATTCACAATTGGCCAATCAGACTCCATAGCCACTGTCTTGATATTCTGCAATATCAAGTCATTGACCTGATATGGCTATGTTCAAGTGCTTGGTCATGCCATGTGGGAAATATTTTGGTTTAACTATATCTTGGAAAAATACCAACTATGGCTTAGCAAATCGTGCCTGATGTGCTGCTGAAGCATACCAAAAAGGTACAATAATAGGTATAACAACTAATTAAAACTAAAATCCACATGTTATTCACTTATTCACTGTATTTATTCTCTTTTCAATATCTGAAGGTTCCTAGTTAAAAAGAGCAAGTAACCACAGTGTACAATAACAGTAGTAATAGTTACTTGAAGTTAAATTTATTTTCTGTAGAAAGTACGACATGTACAACTGTATATGCTTGTTTTTAGATTGTGGAAAGGCTACACATGTTGGAAAAACAATGTCAGATTTCAGAAGAATTGTAGTAGTAGGTGAGTGTATTTGCAACAGCATNAGGCTCGAAACGTCTGCGATATAATTGAGTTCATTTTGGCACTGTTTTATTACTAGTTTTTCTAGTAATTTTTTGTGGAAACATCGTCAGACATGTTTGTGGTAACTACCTAGAATGAATCTGTACCATTAACAGTGATGTGATGTGAGGCTTGCTTGATGAAGGCTTCATAGGCTTCACTTCCATTTGTTTTGCATCCCTGCATTCCTGCATTCCTGCATTTCTGCATTCCTTGCCCCACACCACGTTTACTGGTATGTTATTCGTTTGTTGGCTAGAGGCTGGCAATTAGACTAACAGAATGGCTGGAAATACCAACATATAAAAAGCATGACTAATGTACCTTCTATTGTTGTGTCTGTTAATAGGGGAGTTATGCTTAGCAAAGCAGGCCATTCAAGTCCCCAGGCCTCCTCCTTACAGTCGGAGGTAACAGAAGTTGAAAAGGACTTGACACTAAGATGCCTTTTATGGGAGTCCCTGCAAGAATGGCAGGGATTGGTCGATCAGTGGGAGGCCACGCCCTTTGAGACTCTGAAGATTGATGAAGTACAACAAGATGTCACAAGGTTTATCCAGACAGTATTCTTACTGGAAAAAGGTACAGTACTGGCTTGAGTTGTTCGAAAGGTGGATATCGCTATCCATCGGATAAATCACAATCCAGGTGATAGCGTGGTTTGTTTGTTTTCTTTTGAAACACGTACCAGCTGGATAGTGTGTTATCTGGTTATCTGGATAGTGAGTTACCCAGCCTTCGAACAACTGGAGTCTGCTGGCTTATGCAGAGTTCTCAATGGCTGGAAAAGACTGAAATGTTTAAGCCATTTTCCTGGACATGGCAGAAGTGGAAACACATTTGTCATCTGTAGAACGTTTATGAGAGATTTTCCATGCTTTTATGAAATTCTTGTCAATTAGGAGAATTCCACTTCAGCCAAACCATCACTGATCATAGTCCTCTATTCTTTAGTTTCTGGGTTTTTGCATGTATGGAAAGCTTTTCATCCCATGTAATACGATTTTTCAGATTGGATATCATTTAGAAGTACCGCCGAACCTCTACCAACGGCCACCTCTCCGCAACGGCCATCTCTATACTGTGGCCACGCATTTGTGTCCCAGTCGAGAGATTTGCTCTTATTTTAAACCCCAGCAATGCCCAACCTCTCTACAATGGCCAGTAAACTCTGTCTGCAGGGTGGCCGTTGTTGAGAGGTTCGACTGTAACACAGTTGATAGCCTTCTGGCTAAAAACTGAAAAGGTTGTTGACATTTGTTCTCTTTTAGGTCTTCCACCCAACAAGGTTGTACCAAAACTGAAGCAGAAAGTGATGAGCTTTAAACAGGGCATGCCTGTTATAACAAGCCTGAGAAATGCTGCGCTCAGAACAAGACACTGGGAGGCGATACAGAATGTTATTGGAACACGGATAGTTCGTGACAAATATTTCACACTGGGACACCTTCTGCAGCTCAAGGTGATTAATAATTGTAAACCACGTAGTAAAATCATTTGGACCAAGATAAGTCACATCTGGGGACATTTGTCTTGATGTATCAGGAGATTCTCCAAACCATCTTTTGCAAAATTCTCTAGAAATCAGTATAGAGAATTAAGATCGCCATCTTCAGGCTGAAGGAGGGTGTCGCAGCTGTAGAGTGCAGTGTGAACACTGGTGCTGGTCGTGGCCTTTGGAGAACATGGCTCCCAAACGACCTTTAAGCCATAATCTAGTTGCCTTTACTTTGGTTAGGGTAGCAATAATTTTGAATACAGCCAGGTTGGTTATAGTAAATGTTAGCTTATTTTCTTGTTGAATTTGCTCGTCTTTCTATCTAGAATTTGATGAGGGAACTCCTAACTCCATACTTAATTCCACCTCTATAGGTTTGCTAGTCTCATTATCAGGCGCTGATGTATCAGTGTTAAAAATGTCTGGACTATTTTCAGGTTTTTCAACACAAGGAGAAAATTTCAGACATCTCATCTCAGGCCAGCAATGAAGCAACTCTGGAACAAATGCTTCAAAAGGTAAAGTAATGCAGCTGTTGACAGTTATGTAGACTGTGTACAGGAGTTCATGGAATTTCAGCTACAAGCATAACTCTTATAAAGCATAATTCAACCCAGCAATGATGATTTGGTTTTGTAGCCCATGAAACAAGTAGAGCGCAGGAACAAGTAACGTTGACAAGAGTGAAATTAATGATAATTTATGGATACACGACAACGTGCACGCTCGGCTTTTCATGTTTAACTCGTTCAGCTTATTCCGTACATTTAGGGAACATGCTCCTTTATGTTTTGTGTTCCAGGTGATGGACTTTTGGAACCATACAGATTTCCAGTTGTCTGCACATTCTAGCCGGGATATTGCCATCATCACAGGAGCTGATGATATCATAACATCGGTGGAAGAGAGCCAGGTCACGCTTTCTAACATCCGAGGGTCACGCTTTGTCACGCCCATCAAGGTATAAAATGTCTTAGTCACTTGCAGGGTTAACCGATGAAAGGGGTGTCAGCGTTTCCCGGTATTGAAATTTTCATGGCAAGATGATTAACAAATTTAAGCAACAAAGAGTTAGATGATCGTTTAGAAGTTCTCATTCCTTCAAAATAGTAAGGTCAACGGTTTGGTGAAGAAAGTGAATTTTTTGTGCTTAAGATAAAGTCGTTCTCTATACTTTACCGTGTTCTTTTTTCAGTCTGTTAAGAGTGATTGTTATTTCCTTTCGAAGGCTTTGGTTGAGGATTGGGACAGAAAACTAAAACTGTTTGCAAGAACATTAGATGAATGGCTTCTCTGTCAGCGAAACTGGCTTTACCTGGAAACCATCTTTTCGGCAGCTGACATTCAAAGGTGATACATTGATCTTTTGGGAATGGTCTTTAAAGATGATGAAACTACAATCTTAGTCAGAATAAAGTGATAAATAAAACTACCCCTTCCCCGTCGAATCAATGATTAACTCACGCCGAAAACCAACTGTTCCATTGTTTTTCATTCTTAAGTTGAGGGATAGAGGTGGTGTAAGATTGTAGTTTGATTTTAAGTTTAGTCTATCCTGAAAGTAATGCTGCATGTAATTTATGTGGTAGGCTTGCGCTATATTGATCGGTTTTCAATTGAGTGTCATAAAACCAAAACCAAAGTAATCACTCCAGCCAATCAGAAAGGACACAGACAATCCAGTGAACCAATCAAAATTCGAAGTAATTGCATGTAGCTGACGTTAAGCGCCGGAAAACATGTGCGAACGCGTCATGATTGCTTTTGGTTTTACTTCTGATTTCATGAAAAAGTGGTGCGAGTTTTTTTTTTTAAAGCCAACCGAGCAGCGTAGAAAATGCAAAACCAATTACTTCTCGTCACTCGAGTGAAAACCACTCTATTGTTCAATGAGCATATATGTTGACAATACAGCCTTACACAATGCTGTTTTACTTGCACGTATGACATCAGCTCAATTTAAATGGGGTTTGCTTCTAACAGGCAACTACCAAATGAAGCTCGTCTGTTTGCTCAAGTTGACAAATCATGGAAAGACATTATGAGAAGGACTATTGATAAACCAAATGCACTGAGGGCTTCAACAGCTGCTGGTAAGTGTACCACGTTATCAAGAAATCCATGCACACCCGACATAGCTACTTACACGGAGTTGGTTATCATAAAACCAGTACATACCGCATTATTAGCCATTGTGTCATCTTATACTGGTGTTTTACAGGCTACTTGTATCGTATTTTGTCAGATTATAAGCGCTTAATTTTCTTGCTGGGTTAGGAATGGGTGAGTACAAGTGGAAAGGTTCGTTTCGAGGTACCTGCAGGCTTTGTAGATAAGGAAAGGTAAAATATACAAGTTACGTGCAAAAAATGCTCACGTGATTTTCGATGTGTATTGAAATAGACAAGAATAAAAACCGAAAGGTCCCATTAGAATGTGTATGGACTTAGGTGAGTTTGGTTGATTTATCACAAAATGCAATGGTTTTTTTTCGACCGCTTCAGGAGTGCTGGAAGTATTACAAGGAAGTAACTCTCATTTGGAGAAAATACACAGATGTTTAGAGGTGAACCCCATGGAAGATTAGAATTGACAGTCAACATCATGTAATAAGCTAAGGACATAACCACACTCAGGCACTGTCTCATCGCTTTTTCATTCAGTTTGCTACTCAACTGTGCTGTTTTGGATGACATACACTCTACCTACTTCCACATAATGAATCAAAGAACAGCCACAGAAAGCACAATGCAATGAAAGTCGAACCCTTGTCTCATTTAGAGATTGTCTACACCCATTGCAGAGTATGTTTCATGTATATTCATTCCATC